CCCCTCCTCCCACTTCCCTGTTGTTAACCCTCCATGAGATCTTCATTTCTATGGTTCTGCTCCTGGTCTAGCTGTCCTCTTAGTTTGCTTTTGTTTTAGGTGTGGTTCTTAATAACTGTGAGTTTGCTGTCCTTTCACTGTCCATCTTTTTTATCTTCTTTTTCTTAGGTAAGTCCCTTTAACATTTCATATAATAAGGGCTTGGTGATGATGAACTCCTTGAATTTGGTCTTATCTGAGAAGCACTTTATCTGTCCTTCCATTCTAAATGAAAACTAAGATTCCAATTTTTAAAAAATCCCCTGAAAGATTTTAGAGTGTTGATTGGAAAGAAACAAAAATCTTATACTCAATCTAGATTCCTCTTTTTTCTATACCAAAAGTGAACCACCGGCAAATCCCCGATGATCTAGATTTAAATTGTATTCAGACTCACCATTTATCACCACCTCCAATGCCACTACTACTGTTCTCTAAACCTCCATCATCTCTCATCTGGATTATTGAATAATTTTAAAATCACCTCCCACTCCGCCCCAAGACTACTATTCCCCTGAACCTCCCAGGGATCCTGTTAAAGAAATAGATCTGATGCCACTTCTTTGTTCAAAACTCTCAAAGATTTTTCAGAATAAAGACCAAAGTCTGTACATAAAAAGCACTAAATGATCTCCCTCCCCAACCAATGGACACCCTACTCTTATCTTTCCAACTTTATCTCCCTCTAAAGTATGCTCCCACCACCACTACCAGGTCCTCCCCTCCCTCCACTCTCCTAACAGCTCACTCCACGCCAGGCCAGGTGCCCCCTGCTGCTCCTCAAATTGGGGACTTCCTGGCTGAGGGCCTGCTGTTCTCTCTGCCTAGATTATTCCTGGTATCCTCACAGCTTGCTCACACACCTGCTTCTGGTCTTTATTTAAATGTCACCTTCTCTGCATGGCATTTCTTGTCCACCCAACCTAAATTTTCAGTACCTCAAATACTCTCTTCCACCTCCCTGCTTTTTTTTTTTTGGTTATTTTCTTTGTCTTATTCCTTTCTATCTTTTCAGCGTACTTTCAAATTAAAAGTAAATCATCATTAGTGGTTATATTTCTGTGTTTCTTTTCACTGTCCTCACAGCACCTATAACATTGAAGGCATCCACCAAATGTCTCCTAAATTAACTGATTAGTTAATGGAAGAAGGGAGACCAGTTAAGAGGTATTTTAAGTAAATCTAAGAAAGGTAATAACTGCCAGAATTAAGAAAGAAATAAAAGGTATAAAATAAAAGATTGAAGTTGTAAGATGAGTACTCTTTAGTGACCTCCTGAATGTGGGAAGTAACCAAGAGAGAGCAGGGGCAACCAATTGCTGGATCTCTGGCTTAGGGTACCAGGTAGATGGTAGTGACATTCAGCAACACTAGAAATAGTCTGAGGCAAAAAGAGTGAGAAACATCGATGTGAGATAGAAACATCAGTCAGTTCCCTCCTGTATGCACCCACAAGGGGACTGAATCCGCAACCTGAGTATGTGCCCTGACCAGAAATCAAACCCGCAATCCTTGGGTGTACAGGATGACCCTCCAACCAAGTGAGCCAACCAGCCAGGGACGAACTGTGATATTTAAGGAGGTTATAGAGCATCTATTAGATATCCAATGAAAAAATTTAAAATGTTGTGGAGCTTAAATACAGTGGTCTAGGCTAAAAATCTGTCTTAGGAGGTAATGTCCTACTGAGTGCTTGCTGAGTGCTTATATGTATATGAGATATATATATATATATTTTCAATTACCCTGTCACTGTTTCCTTCAAATTACCCAATGGCTCTATTAATCCACAGTTGTGTATTAGTTATAACAATGTGCCAATGACAAAAATTAATAAGTATTCTTACATAAACTTGATACAGTAATATCAGGAATACTTTCAAATTTAAAATTAAATCAACAATTATTTTATTACACACTTACTATGTGTAAGACAAAATCATAACACCTAATGGATATTGATTCCCATTACTTCCACTAAGAGAAACCAAGAGAGACAGGAGTCCCGATCTTTCCCATCCCTGTAGTGTGAGGGAGGGAGGACATGTTCTCTGCTGCACACCAACCGGCTCTGTCTTTCCAGCTCTGTCATTCCTCAGTAATTAGGAGTTATTTACTCTCTGAGCCTCAGCGTCCCTCTATTCAAAACAGGGATCCTAACACCTACTTTATAAGATGATCGTGAAGACTGGCAATATACTACAATTCCTTACACTTCAAGTTTCAAAAGCATAGAGTAAGTTGTCCAATACTCATGTAACTTCCAAGTCAATGAAAAAGAGAAAGAGAGAGGAAAGCCCATTAAACCTATCACAATATTTGTCTTGCTGTTTAAATGTAAGCACTAACAAGCTCACTAATCAGGACCCTGCTTTAACAGCAAAGTCTTTTTAAAAAATATTTTATTTATTTAGAGATCGGGGAGGGGGGAGAAAAAGAGGGAAAGGAACATTGATGTAAGAGATAAACATCCATCAATTGCCTCTCATATGTGCCCTGGTGGGGAATGGAACCTGCACCCCTTTGCTTTGCGGAATGACACCCAGCAAACTGAGCCACATCAGTCAGGAAGCAAAGTTTTCTTGCACAGATTTCCATTGCATTGTGAGTCAAAATTCAGGCAGTGTTTGGAAATATATTTTCTCTAAGAGCTTACAAAATAAATATTGTTCACAAGTGAGTTTGTGTTGGTTTAAGCTTTATAATCTGTCACATACATAGATTCCATTGCAAGTTGCAAGAGAAAGAGCAGACATTTCTCCAGCAGTTTCTATAGGGTGGAACAGTCCGTTCTCATGCAATTAACTACGGCTTGTGAGATTATGATAATTTTGGCTCCACACCCTTTGCTTACTGAGTCATAAATCTCATGATGCTTTTCAGTCATTGATTTTAAGATGTTGTCTATGAACTGAAGCGAAGATGGCATTAAAGTTATTCCCAGGGGAGGGTCATCCAAGCTGAAGCATATGCTGACTCTAGCCTTTTGGTTTTCTGGGGTTTGGAACTCTGATTTAATCTTTGCTTTTCAAACCTCTCTCTATATATTCATGAATCTTGACACATCAGTTCACCTCTGGAAATATAGTCAATCCCTGGTTGAGGAGGAGACTCAATCAATTTAAAATTTATTTAGGTTTTTGGGTTTAGCCTTGCCTCAGAAATCTGTCTCCTTTTGACTATCCCACCACTGGGCAGCCGCTAACATTCATGGAACTCACAAATTCCTAACACTGTGCATTTGCAATTGCTTGTCACTGGCACAACAACCCCACAGAGTCACAGATGAGCAAACAGGATCAAAAGTCAGCAAATGTCGAAGTGCCAATTTGCTCCAACTTGAAAATTACCACTGGTAGCTCCTAAACCTTGGACTCTGGACCAGGGTTGGTGAATATCAATTTTCACTAGCAGAGCAAAATGAACAAATAAGAGCATGGAGTACAAAGACATTATAAAGTTAAAGCTAAATTATTCATTACCTTTTTTATTATTCTGAGATTATGTCCTTTCCACTTTTACATGTTCAAATGTCCTTTTATTAAATGATAATGTTTGAGCATGGTCAGTTTTTTAATATGTTTACTCAACAAAATGACAGCTGGCAATTCTGTGTCCACCTCCAGTAAGTTTCTGACCTGTTACTGGTCCCAGAGCCACAGCATGCGACCTGCTGGGGGTGCCCTTCCAGAAGTCTGTGAGTTGAGTGGAGCCCAGACAGCACCTGCAACCCTGCTGGGAAACATCAATGTCTGGGAACCGCTGACCTTCGGGCATTCCCTTCCGACTTACACCAGAATGTGGAGAAAACAGAAAAAAATGAGTCAGACTATATTCTGGCTAAACATAACTGCTTATCATCTCTGTTAAGGCCTTAAAATCTGAAACATGGGCAGGAGTTAACACATGCAGCAAATATTTATAAATATCACAAATATTTATGAACCACTTATATATGCCAGGCACCCTACAAAGTGTCAAAAACATAAGCATGAATACCATATTTCCTCTCAGAGTGTTCAGAGCCTCGTGGAAAACCTATTTAACTAGAAATATACACTTCATAGCACCTAACGTGACCTCACTGATCTCAAAACAGCCTTGTGTGGCAGGCAGGTATCATTATTCTAATATTTAGGATAAAGAAAGTCTCAGGTGAATGACAATATGATCTCCAATCAAACAGGAATTCATACTCAGCTCTTCTGATTACCTCCTCAGTAGGGTGTGTGTGCAGTGGGAGAGGCACTGTCGTATCCGGGCTGTATGCTTAATACAGTTCCAGATAGTGTATTGTTATAAATCTATTGGCTTACACTGTAACTGGCAAGTTCCTAAGAATAAAGGACAAATCACACAAACCCTCTGCTGGTGGTGCGGTTCTCATTTATTTCAGGGGATTGCTGCTCTTCTGGATCTTAGCTCTTAGCTTCTGGCCACATTCTCATTTTTATAATATGGATAATATCATAGTGAAAAAATGCCTTTGTGGCATTCAGAAAAAAAAAAAAAAACCTCCTTCTACCCCTCTCACCACTCAAAATGATCTCTCTTCTGTACAGTCCTGGAATGGTTCCCAGGTGACTGTAGTAAGTGTCCAACATAGGGTTCTGGAAGAGGTTATAACAAAACAGAGAAAAAATTGATTATTATCCTTGAGAATTTTATCAACTGGTAGAAGAAGGGAAAATAATTGCAAACCAAAGATCAGATTTCCTTATGCTTTTATCAAACTACCTAAATGTCAACAAAATGCTGAAAAATTTTTGAAAGAACCATGAAAGAGAATGTTGTCCAGGTCAGGTTTATTTCTCAGAACTAAATTCCTATCAAGAAGCATTTGGTTTCCTGTAAATAGAACCATGTTCAAGCCAAGAGACTTAGGAAGGCAGAAAATTATCATGAGCACTGAAATAATCATTTCTAAATGAGTAGCACTGATGTTTTTCTCTTGTTCAAAGACCGGCACGAGCATCACTGAACTCAAGATTTCTGAATCCCTATGTGGTGTTTTTTGCTGTTGTCGCAGGGGTGGTAATCCTGGCAGTTGTGATAGCTCTACTGATTCACTTTTTAGCTTTTGGTAAGTACCAGAAAATTAAAAGTGCCACTTCTCAGACTAAATAACTAAATACACATTCAGATTAAAAGTTTGGCATTCCTTGAAATCTAACCATTTGTGACAAAATGGGTAGACCTGGAGAACATTATGCTAAGTGAGGAAGTTAAATAAAGAAAAATATCATATCGTTTGACTCATACTTGGAATCCAAAGAACAAAATAAATGAACAAACAAAACAGAAACAGAATCATAGGTACATAGAACAACTTGATGGTTGCCAGATAGGAGAGGGTTGGGGGTCTGAGGAAAACAAGATGCAGGGATCGGGTACACATTGGTAGTTACATCCCCATTGGTAGTCATGGGGATGTAAAGTTAAGCATAGGATATGTAGTCAGTATATTATATAACTATGTGCAGTACCAGGTGGGGACTGGAATTATGAGGGAGATCACTTTCCAAATTACTTAATTATCTAACCATTATGCTGTACACTTGAACCTAATATAAAAAATGTTTGCCATTTTTAGTCATCACTTTTATCTCTATTATATATAAAATAATTATATTTTTAGATATTCCTAAATATATGTTTGTTTCTATATTTTCCCTCAATCTAAATTTATTTGCCTTCTATCTTTTAGCCTTTTTTAGTATAATAAACATTATTACCCAAGGAAGGAGCAGTCTAGCCAAAGAAAAAAACCTCTTTATAATTTTCTGATACTAGAATTTGCCTGTTTTATTTTTTCATTAATACCATGATTTTCTTTTCCATTTAATAGCCTGATAAAATTATAAAAATAAAATGTTTTTTAAAGAACCTTAAGTTTCAACCCTAGAATTTGGATGTACCTAAGTCCTTGTTAATTCATAATCTGTCACCTGAAAACACAGTTTTAGTAGCAGAACAATTATAATAGGAGATGAATTTGCAATTAAGTAGAAGAAAGGGGTAAAAACACTTTAAAAAGAAATCTATTTTTTAAATTTTTAATTTTATTTAGTTCTTTCATTATTACCTTACAAAAATATAGGAAACATGGACAAGAAACAAATAATATAAAGAATGCATATACCGTGCTCATTCATAAACACGTTTCCTTAATATCTCAGAGAATATTCTTTCAGAGGTTTTAATGTAGATAAATGAGATGCATCAAATTTCATTAGATAAGATACACTATAATCTGCCTTCTTTACTTAAAAATACACTCTGAGGTTACTTTTAATTTCAGCTATAATTTCGTTAAATCTTTAAAACGTGTGGGGATTTGTGCGTAGGTGGGGGGGTGTGAGTGTGGAGAGTGAGAGAACACAATATATTATGTGCATTAGTGCAAATGGGCAAAAACGCTTAATTATGCGGAGGTTGAAAAACTCCCAATGGTGCAATGTAATTACCAATATTAGAAAAAGCAAGTACCTAGGAATAACCTTTTTACCCAATCTAATTAAAAGTTGTGACTAAATTTTGCTTTTGACTAGATTTTGCTATCAAGTCACCTGGGGTCAAATATGTTTAAGGTGAATTACGTAGGTAGGGAAAAGATACATAAAGTTTCAGATTGAATTTTTGTATGTTCACTCTTTTTAAAAAAGATTTTATTTATTTTATTTTTAGAGAGAGGAGAAGGCAGGGAGAAAGAAAGGGAGAGAAATATCCAGGTGTGGTTGCCTCTCATGAGTCCCTACTGGGGACCTGGCCTGCAACCCAGGCATGTGTCCAGACTGGGAATTGCACCAGTGACACTTTGGTTCTCAGGCCCACACTCAATCCACTGAGCCACACCAGCCAGGCTATTTTTACTCTTAATGGCACTGCATTGTCATATTTAAATACAAAGGGAGGAATTTAGGTAATTCCTTTTCAAAGTGTATCTCAATGACCACCTACAAACCTAGGGAGACTTGTCCTTCTGCTACAAAAGACTACACTACCCTTTCCTCAGGCAATTCCTTCCTGCCATTGAGTTATTTCTCTGCATAAATTATATATATGAATGACCAAAAGAAAGTAGAAATTCTTTTTCTGAAACAGGTTAGGTTATATTCACATGCATAATGTCTCTAAGATATATACAGTATGTTGTAGAGATTTTTATCCCCTTCAGACAGGCAAATAGGTCCTTTGAAAGACACTTTTCAATGGAAATGATTCACATTGGACAACCAGATTAGATATCGTTAGAAAAGTTATTTTCTAGCTTAGTCCAGAAAATCAGTGGCAAGTCACTAATTCCTCTGAGAAAATTATTTGAAATAATTTTTAAACTATCTATAACTACTTTAGGTTATTCCTTAATGACAAATAATAGCACATTATAGAAATTCATTAATATTTTTGAAAAAACCTATAATTATGTCTTCCCAAAATATAGTGGAATGAAAATTATACTTCTAAACAATTTAATTTCTCAAGTAATACTGTTCTAATTTTCATACATTTTTCACAGTCACAGTTTTGCAAATTTTTTAAAAACTAAAAATAATTTTATTATAGATACATTTATGTTAAGTTTTGAGTATTTTTTTCTTTTATGGGAACCAAAATAATTTAATCATATATAATAGCCTTCCATAATCCTAAATAAACTAAAGATTAAAGTACTTAGTAATGCAAGACTGATTCTGCTTTTTCTTTGTTTTACAGATAAAAAATCTTACTTTTACCATAGCAGCTTTCAAATCCTAAATGTTAACTATAGTGATAATTTAAATTCACCAGCTACACAGCAATATAGGACTTTGAGTGAAAGAATCGAATCTGTGGTAAGTCAATATTTGTGTTCATCCTGTACTCCATCATAAAAAAAGATAACATGCCTAATATTTTTAAAAATGTTACAATTGCTAGATGCTCTACATATTTTCCTACTTTGAACAGTGGAAGATGTGTTTTTTGTGCTTTTTCCAAGTTACTCTGTTGGTATACATTTTCTTAGTCACATTTTCTTAAGTAATGAATGAAAAGTCTCAGAAGGGTCACGACTAAACACATATTTTATGTGATCATGACTTCAAGGCTGGAAGTCTATTGTTTGTACAAGTTGAGCATTTATTATGCTCTCCTTGAGACTGACTTCGAAAATCCTTTTCATTTGGCTTTAGTTCTTTTTTCCTTATCCAACAAAACACACAGGAGGCAGATGTTAGAAGACATGTTTGCCTATCAATAACATAGTTTGGCCAACAGCACCCCTTGGCTCAATGATAAACATAGAAACTATGCAAAGGGAGCTGAGACTTTCACTGAAAGAGGCCCACAGACTGACCACCTCACAAATGGACCCTCAGCATTTTTTATCACCACAAACCAGGGTCTTGCCTTCAGCCCTGCAGCATCAGAGTTGACCAGTCTCCAGGTTGCTTACTTACCCTAACAGTTTTTAAGAATCCTAAAAATATATTCCCTTTCCAGGTGGCTTAATTGGTTGGAGCATCATCACATACACTGAGATTGCACTTTGGAGCCCTGGTCAGGGCACAGACTGAGTGGCAGGTTAGATCTCCCAGTCAGGGTACATATTGGAGGCAACCAATTGAGGTTTCTCTCTCTTTTCTCTCCCCCTCCCTCCTCCTCCCTTCTCCCTCCTGTATTCTGTTCTCTCTTTCTCTCTCTCTGAAATCAATTTTTTAAAAAGCATATTTTTGGATGAGGAGCATATACTTGGGTAAGAATTTTTAAAATTATTAAGTATAAAATATTAAATTTATTAAATATTATTATATTAAATTATATTTATTAAATATTTCCTAGTCAAGCTTGTTATTCTTATAAAAATTCTTTAAAGTAAATCAAAATGCATGTATACACCTTGTTATTAAAATAAAACTATTTTCAGTACTGACTCTTGTTAGAAAGCTAATATACAAACATAGTAAGTTCAGTGTATTTAAGAAATATAAAGAAGGAAGAAATAGGCACAAAATCTCAACACTCAGATATATTCACGGTTAACATTTTAATGTTCCAGGTCTCTTTCTATGCAAACTGAATACATAATACATGCTGAAGCACATATAATTATCTGTCAACAAAATCAGACTGTATATGCCAGTTTATCTACTTGTCTCCAAAAATATGTTAAGATCAGTAAATTTAGAAATACACTATTTTAAATAACTAAGCAGTATTATAGTGTGTAGATGTATAATATTTTATACGACCAATCCTTTACTGACAAAGTTTTAAATTGTTCCCAGTTTTTCACTATTATATTCAACATTCTGAGGAACACCCTTGTTTATACACCCTTGCACATTCCCATGATTGCATTTTGGGGATATATTCCCAGAATTTTCAGAGCATGGGACCTATATTTTCTTTTCTCTAGAGATTTTTTAATCCTTTCTTTGTTTTTATTGAAGATTTTATTGTAGAAGCATTTTAAATTTACAGAAAAGTTGTAAAGGTAATATGGAGGTGTCTTATACATCACACCCATGCTCATCACACCCATTAACATCTTACATACAATACTGCACTTGTTAACATTATTGAGCCAGTGTTGATATTCTATTATTAATCAAATGCCTTATCTTATTCAATTTCCTCAATGTACTTCTCTGTTTCCTGGTCCCATCCAGAATACCATATTCCCTTTAGTTGTCTCGTCTCCTCAGGCTCTTGTAAACTATGACAGTTCCAGAGATTTTCCTTGTTTTTGATAACCTTGATAGCTTTGAGAAGTACTGGCCAGGTATTTTACAGAATGTCCATAACTGGGGTTTTTCTGCTGTTTTTCTCATGGTTAGAGCAGGGTTACAGGTTTGGGGGGAAGATCACTGAGGAGCAGTGTCATTTTCACTACTTCATATGAAGGGGATACAAATTATTAATGTGACTCATCACTGTTGACCTTGATCACCTGGCTGAAGTAGTGTATGTCAGATTTCTACTCTAAAGTTACTCCCTCTCTTTTCCACACCAGATTCTTTGGAAGAAAGACACTATGTGTGGGTCATACATTAAGAATAAAGGAGTAGACAGTTATGCTTTGAATATTTGAAAAATATTTAAAACTCTTTCATTTATCTATTTCCACATGTATTTGTTTATTCAAGCACTTTTCTTATACCAACATAGTCTATGCATTTTAAAGATTTATCTTAATATCTAGATTGTACTCCAGGAATGCCTCAGTTTACATTCTCACCAGTTGTATATGAGTATACATAAGTGTGCTTATTTCTCCATAGCATTAACACTAGGCATTGTAAACATTTTAATTGTTGGAAATAAGTAAAAAGTAATATCTCATTATTTTGATTTGCATTTATTTACTAGTAAGATTTAATCTGTCTTCATATGTTAATAGGTTATTTTCATGATTTTATTTTTGAATTTTTTTGGTTATGACCTTGCCAATTTTCTTATTGCATGGAGCATTTTCCTTTTTTATATAATCTTAGGGGAAAAACTTTATTTGAATATTAAAATTTACCTGTCACTCATGTTGCATGTATTTCCCTGATATGTGATTTAACTTTCAGTCTTGTATATAATGTAGGGTTTTTTATACCCAGTAGATTTAATATTTTTATATAGTTAAAATTATTATTTTTATGATTTCTTACTTTTGTACCAGTAAAAAATGTCTTCCTCCACTCCAAATATTCTAATGTGTTCACTCACATTTTCCTCTTGCCCTTTTATTATTTCCATTTTCATAATTTTATCTTTGATTCATCTGGAATTTATTTTATAGTAAGGTAGAGATCCAGCTTTTTCCTACTACCACCAAAACTATGTTAAATAATGCAATTGATTTATTTGTCGTGCTACCTTTATCATATGTTAAATCCTTCCTTTCCTTTTGTCTGTACTCTACTGTTTTCAAATGATTAATCTTGCCTGCACCAGTACCAAACTATTTATAGTACTGTGGCTTTATAATATATTTAAACACCTGGCACAGCAAGATCTCCCTTGAAATTCCTCTGATGTATGACTTTCCTAATCTTATTCGCCCTTCTGTAAAAACACTTTAAACATTTAAAGTATCATATGAATAATACTTTAATATGGTGTTTATAGTTTACATAGCACTTTCACGTGTATTATTTAACCTTCAATTCATAACAGCCATATGAATTAATAAATCATTTTTATAGTCAGGTAAGCGCAGGTTGTGAGATTAATAACTGTCAAAGGCCAGTCAACTGGAAAGTGGTAGAACCAGAATTCAAACCAAGGCCTGCTGACCACAAATCCAAGAACCATACCATTTCCCGATGGCCCCACATTTGCTATCATTATCCTTGTCCCACAAACATTGAATTACTTAATAAGCAGTGAAATAGTACTAGAACCTTCTATTATATAAAGCAATTCACTTATTTATGGTTCTCAGTTTACTGATCTGTAAAATAAAGTTGTGGGGCTAAATGTTTTTCTAGTACTTTCTAACTCAAAAAGTCTGTGATTTTTGTAATTTCCATAAGATATATTCATACTATCCACTCACCTGTTTTTCTTACCCTGCCTCTCTGGCCCCCCCTCTCTATGCTTTACAGGTTGGCCCTCCTCTACACTGCCTATCAACATCACGACTAACACGAGGCTTTGACCTACACCCTCCTCTCCTCTCACATTGTTTTCTAATCATAGATGATCTCACTCGTGATCAGACTTTAACAAAATTTATATACTAATGACACTCTCTCTCCGGCACAGGCTTTTCCTTTGTACTTCATACCTTTCACCCAAATGTCAGCTTGACATCTCTACTGTTTTTAAAAATCTCAAATACATCATGTCCCCAAACCCAACCCATGATCTTCTCACACCATCCTAGCCTTACCTCCTTCCATCAATCCTAGTCCCATTAATGACAATACCATTTATCCAGTTTTTCAGATCAAAAACATAAAATCCATTCTTGCTGTCCTTACTCTCTGTCATTCCAAATATCAAATTCCTTACCAAGTCTTGTAAGTTTTAACCCTCATATTGACCTCAGATTCATTCCTCTCTGTCTGTGCTACCACCATGTCCTTCCAAGACATCACCTCTATTCTGAAGAACTAAAATAACACCATAAGTAATTTGCATTATTCCTTCCCTAAAACTGATTATCCATATGCATCAAGAGATACTGTTCTCAAACAGCAAATCTGATCGTATTTCTCTCTTGTTTAAAACACTTCAGAAACTCCCATTATTTATGATAAAGACCAAATGCTGCGTGGTCTAGCCTTTCCTATCACCCTAGTCTCTTTGTTCTCTGTGCTACACACTGGCACTGGCCTTCTTTTATTCCTTAAACACAACCTGTTTCCACTGCAGGACTTTGCATGTGCCATTCCCTCCACCAGTGAGGTTTCCCTTCCTCTTCAACCACCTAACTCTGCTTCTTCCTGAAGATATCAGCTCCATAAGAATTTCCTTTAGGAAGCTTCTCTAATTTCATGGACTGGATCTAATTCCTCTCTATAATGCTGCACTTACATTTAAGTAAAGTGTGGATGATAATTTTATTTGTGCCTATCTTCCCCCATTAGATATAAGCTCCATGAGGGCAAGGATTGTTCATTTCCTTTCACTATTGTGTCCCAGTACATGATACAGGGAAATGGGGCCCAAGAAGTACTCAATAACTATTGTTGAGAGACTGATAAATGAATGAAGCCATTTAGAAATAATGGAAGCACTTGTTTGCAAAATGCATGTATCAAAAGTGCAAATGCTGATTGAATGGGTCTCTCCAACTAAAACAAGAAATTTCAGTTAGGATTCACTCCGGGATCAACAGAACCATTGAAATGCTCATTTGGTATCAGGGGTGGTATTGCAATAGATTCTGCAAACAATTGCAACTTTCCCCAAAGTATACATGATGGAATTAGCGCAAAAAACTAGGACACAGGAAAAGAAAGAAAGTAATATCAATTTGAAATTCATCTTACCCTATTATTTATACTGTCAGGGCTTTTTGGTAAAATTTATCTGTCAAGCATTGATTGTTGCCTGATGCCTAAAAGAGAATTTGGCACATACTTGACATTTAAATATTTGTTGGATAAATACATAAATGATGAATTCTACCTGTCGATTCTTGTATTAAGTCCTAGAAACACAAAGTAAAGATACTGCAGTCAGGGTGGAACTCACAGTGGTCTGCAAAATAAAGGTTTTCAGCCCAGGGAGGGATTCACGATAACTTACTGGATGAAAGAAAATACACAGATACCACTCTACAGCTATTTTCCCCGTAAAGAATTTTTTAAAAAACCAGAAAAGAGAGAAACTTAGTTTTTTATTACTAATTAAGAAATGGGTCGACACTGTTTGGTTGTATGTCAGCTGGCTGATCATGCGCGCATGTGAAGATATCTTGACGGAAGACGGGGAGGTGAGTAACGCTGGAAAGGACTGCCTCCAGCACACATTTACCTGCTCTGGTAGATTTCAGCGATCCGCAGTTTCCACTGGATTTAAAGACTATATTATCTAGTTCTCAAAGTAAACTGAACCTCCCCAAAATCAATCAATACTCAATGAACATCCCCCAAATCCAAATCAGTAAGAATTCCACGAAACAAATTTTAAAACATGGAAAGGATAACCCTAATATACAAGTACAGTAACAAACAAGTAAATGAACAGGGAGGTAATGTCAGAACTGACACTCTTCTACTCTGGACTAGAGCCGTATTATCAGGAGAATCAACAACTTAGGTAAAGCAATATGCTTCTTAGGAGTTATTTTATAAGGAACATGAATTATTTTGATAAAATAGGCTCATTATTATTAAAAATGCTCAAGGACTCTCTAGGGGAAAAAGTTATCATTTTGTCAAACAACTGGTTGAAAAGAGTAATATACTATAGTGCATTAGAGATTGCATAAACTTTATAATTTTGAGAAAAATTAGCTTCACAACCTCTCTTAATATAACATTCAGCATGCTACCTAATTTCCCTACCTTCATCTTTGCATCCCACCTCACACTACAAGTTAGTGGAATCCACTCCCTATTATGAAACCTTACTGGGTCTGATCCTGTTCTAGTCCCAGAATCACTCCTAGTTTATTGTAAAACTAAACTTTATACCTGAAGAGGCCCATCCTTGCTGCATCTGAGCAATGATTCAGGGAAATAGCTAAGGTCAGGTTAGAAAATTACCAACTGATGATAAAAATCCTCTGATGCTCAGACACTCATCAGAAATAGCAAGGAAAAGACTGCCCTTGGCTGCTTTCCTCATTTCTCTTCAAGATCTCCATTGCTAAACATTTTAAGCTGTTTTTTCCCTTTTAAAAAAGGTTGCTAAAGGGTTATAAAATGTAAGTTGTATCAATGGACTTCCCTAAAGTTGGCTTGGTTCCTACCCCAACCCCTAGGAAAAGCCATCAAATCACATAAAATGGGTTCTCAATGAATAAAACACCTGGTGTATTTAGAATGGCTTCTGGTGAAGACCTACCCTGTCCACTATCATCTGTGTGTAATAAATGAAGAAAAGGGCCTCATCAAAAGTTTACATAAACTGCCTAAATCAATCCCACATATTTAGAAATGCAATTAAACTAAATTGAGCTGAACTAATACCTCAAGTCCCTGATTCTCATTAGTAGATCCCACATTGCAAGGTTTGGGAGAAATGACTAAGGAGAGGAAAAACTGTTAATTACAGAGAGGTTTTTTCCCCCCATTTCTTTCTACAGATTACTACAACATTCAAAGAATCAGATTTAAAGAACCAGTTCATCGGAGTTCATGTTGTCAAACTGAGGTGAGTGGAAATAATGAAAGGTATGTAAACTTGGATGTCCATTTGACTTTTGTTCACAGCATGGATAACAAATGAAACATTCACACAATTCATTGCAATATTTTGAAAATAGTATCATGGGTAGCTTTTAAAACAATGCCAAAACAAAAATAAAACATGCCAGATCTGACCTATTTACCTACTAATGGAAATAACCATAATTAATTCTCAGCAGGAAAAGGAGGAAAGGAAGGAGTAATTTGCATGTAGGTGCAGAAACAGGGCTGTCCTGTTTTGTAAACCCAGTGGATACCCCTCACAATGCAGTCTCTGTAAACAAGGCCCTCTGGAGTTGTGCAGTGCTGTGGCCCTGGGCATACATATCCAAGACCGGAAGACTCTCATTAACATCAAAGGTGGCTTGGGTTTTTGTGTGTTTGGAACACTGTAACAAAAAGGATGCTGTGGCAAATCCAAGCATGTCTGTCATGAACTGATAACCGAGAAAGTAGCAGCATGCATGCTAGCTCTTTGCCCTTCCTGCCTTAGTTGATCTTGTGCCTATTCACATAATGTGATAAAACAAGCAATCACAACTAAAACAGTCACGCTTTCCTGACCCTGCCACAGATGCCTCAAATATCCACATTGCTCCATCCTGCAACTAGTATGCAAAGGTTCTTTGAAAGAAAAACAGATTTAATTCTTTCTCAAATACTAACATCACAATAAAATTAATTTTTCTCATTTTATGTAGTCATCTAAAAAGTACCCAGCAGAATCGAGCTCTGGTCAGATAAGTTTTGTTGAGGCATTAGAGGAGTAGAAACAATCCATGAAAAAAGTCTTTTCCAAAATGCACTTCAGTGCACATTCACCTCAGTACCTTCTTGTGAAAGTCACTGTACTAGCTGCTAGTCTCAAAACATGTAGGACTGCAGGGAGCTATCTGTGTTTCTTGCCTTTTAGTCACTTCCCCCTTAATCCCCTGCAATCCCAGTTCTGACCCCACCACAAAATGCTAATTGTTCTTGCCCAGTTGAACAATAACATCCAAATAACAAACTCCAAAGAAATCATACCAGTCCTCTCTTTGGATTTCTCAACAGTATGTGGCACTGTTGGACTTTTAATCCTCCTTGAAATAGTACCATCGTCTGGTTCCTATAAAACCTACGCACCCCTGATTTTTTCTCTTACCTCTCCACTTCTTCTATTTTCTTTGCTAGTTCTCATTCCTTCTCTGTATATTCCTCAAATGTTGTTGAATGTCAGACTATGGTACAGGCCTCTCATCTTCTCAGTGTCCCTTCATTCAGTGGCTTCATTGCCACCTATATGCTGATTACTCTCAAGGTCATATCTCTGGAACTTTATTCTCATACACAGCCATCTACTTGATATCATCATGCGTATATCTTGCAGACAACTCAAGTTTAACATGTCCAGACCTGAACGTATCCTCTGTCCCCACCCAGTGTTATTCTTCTAGTGCTCCTTACCTCTGTTAATGGCAAAACCTTCAACCTAGTTGCTGAAGAAATATGAGAGTCATCTTTAATTCCTGTCTTTCCTTGCTCTACATTATACATGTATCAAAGATATATGTATGCTTGATATATATAATATAGATGTGTATATATATATATATATATATATATATCCTTAAGACATTTTGTTTATTTACATGGGTATGTATAAAAATACTAAACCTCCCTTTATCTGACTTTATTATACCATCTTTATGTTCTTCACTCCCTGAAACACTTCTTTCAGTTCTTCACTCTCCCTAACCCTAAGGCCTTCATATAAACTATTTCCCTGACTGAAACACACACACACACACACACACACACACACACACACTTTTTCTTCTTTCTGTACCTCAAATTACCTGTTAATGGAGAATTTGAGGTACAGAAAGCAAAGAAATAAGAAGATAATTTCCCTTGAAAAGCCTACTTTTATTCACAATTCCCAAGAGGAAGTGACATGTCTCTTTGATAGGGATGTTATGAAGATCAAACAAATTAGTATGTTTAGTCCTGTTTCAGCATCTATTTACATCATTCACTAAAGATCCCTCTCCTTTGAACTGCATATTCATCTTTTCCATTTTTTCTATTGTTATTCTTTTTCTTATTGATTTATAGAAGTTCTGTATTTATAGTAGGTACCAATCATCTGTCACCTTTTAAGTTGCAAATATATTCTCCCTGTCTATAGTATATCTTTATATTTTGTTTATGAATTTTTAATAAACAAATGAAAATCAGTTATAAAATGTGTTATTTAAGAAATTCTTTTTCTGTGTATAGAAACACATTTTCTAATATTTTTTGTAATTTTTAAGTTTTATTGCTCATATTCAGGTATTTTGTGTATAATATGAGAAAGACTGAATATAATTCTTCCATGAGTCATTTTTTTAGATTTTTAATACCAATTCTGTGATATATTGTTTATGTATGTCTATAGGTCCATTTCTGGATAATCAATTCTGTTCCTTCCACTTAAGCTTAATAATTATGTCATTCAAATAAAATCTACCACTATAGATTTATCTGTTTCTCCTTGTACAATATATTTTGAGGACATATTATCAAGTGCCTATATGTTTAGAATTATTGTATCTTATTCATGAATTATTTTTCTCAAGGTATTAATTTTTTTATCCCTAATTAATGTTTTTTATATTAATGTCTCTTATGTGTGATACAATTGTGGCTACATTGACTTTCTTGTGGTTATTTTTCAGCAATTCTTTACCACACTTACTTTCAACATTGTATATCCTTATAGGTTAGCTATTTCTCCTACAATAAGAAGAAAGTTGGATTACATTTTCTAACATATTTTGACCATCTTTGCCTTTAACTAGAGAGTCTAGTCAATTAATTTACATTTATTGTGATGAATATTACATTTGTAGTTATTTCTTTCATATTATGTTGTGTTCTTTATGTTGCTTTTTCTATTCTTTTTCCTACCATCTTGCCTTCTTGAGTTTTTTCATTTTCTTTTCTTTCACTAGAAGTACTGTATTCTATTTATATTGCTTTAGTGAATATACTTAAAATTTGAACAAGGAGAGTTGGTTTAATCTACTACCCTTCTTCCAAATAACACAGGGAACTTGGAATGTTTATTCATGTTGTTATTAATGATGTTTTAGTTCCGCCTTATTTGTAATGCCAATTAGTCACTATGATTATAATGTCAATGCCTTTTTAGATTACCGGCTAACCATTTTCTTTGTTCCACATTTTTCCTGTGCTTTTTACCCTCCTTCTGTCTTCAGTTTCCTTCTTACTTCCTTTATAAATTCTTACAGAGAGTATATGAGTAATAAATTATACTTTTTTGTTTTGCTTTGATCTGAAAAAATGTCCTTTTTAGCCTCATTTTTGAATAATACTTTAGTGTGGATATAAAATTGTAAGTTGTTAGCTAATTGCTCTCAGCACTTTGAAGATACAATTATATACTGCCTTCCATTCCTGCTATTAAGAAATTGCCTCAGTCAAAATGTTCTATGCTGGCTAGTTTTTCTCTATTGTTTGAAATCTGTCCACTTGTTTCTGGAGTTCTGTTTCATTAGTCTGTATTCGTATGCAGGACTTTTTTCATTTAGTGTGATTTAGTGTCATTGTAATCTGAGGCTTTGCGTCTTCATCAGTTCTGGGTAATTCTCATTATCTGTTGTAATACAGCCGCTTCTTTATTTTTCTGTGCACTTCTTTAGCACTACATTAGGGAAGCATTGATCTTTCTCCTGTCTCTGAGCCTGCATTTTTTCGTTTCTTTATCTGTGTTAGCATTCCTTGTGATTTCTTCATCTCTGTCTTTCAGTTAACTAATTTCTCTTCAGCTTCACCTACTATTCTGTGTAATCCATCCATTTTGTTTTAATTACAATTGTTATAACTAAGCTTTCTTGTCTGCAAGTTCTATTTGTTTCTTTAGATAATCTGCCTGGTCTGCTTGATAATGTTCTATACTTTTTTCATATTTATGATTCCCCCCTTTTATGTCATTAATCATTTCAAATATACTTACCTGACTATCTGTTTCTGAGGGTGCTATTCTTGTTCTGCTGATTCCAGCTCATAATTTTTTTTTACCAGTGGATTGTATGCTTTTCTTTCATCTCACTTTATAACTGGGATTCTACACAGCCTGAATTTTATGTAATCTTCAAGATTGCTTCTATGAGACACTGTAAGAAGATCAGCAGTGTCTGATAGAAGCATGGGCCACTTTTAGATTAAGTATATTGAAGAGAAAACCACAGGCTCAAAATGGCATCACTTGTGGTAAAAACCCTTGATCCCAAACCTAGATTTAGTATCTGATCTAGGTGCTGGCCAGGTACCTCAATTGGTTAGGACATCATCCTGCTATGCGAAGGTTGTGGGTTTGATTCTTAGTCAGAGTACATGTTAGAATCAACCTATGAATGCATAAATAAATGGAACAACAAAATCAATGTTCTGCTCTCCCCCCCCCCAAAATCAATAATTTTTTAAAAATACCATATGATCTCACCTTTAACAGGAAGCTAAACAACAAAACAAACAAGCAAGCAGAAAAAAAAAGACACTGAAATAGAGAACAAGGGGACAGCGACCAGAGGGGAGAGGGAAGGGAAGTTAAGGGGAAAAAGGGGGAGGGATTTGGAGGAACAAATAGGAAGGACACAGGTGCGAGAACTAAGTGGGGTGGAAATGGGAGGGAGGTGGGGAGCAAGGGGCGGGGGAGGCTGGGATGGGAGAAATAGAAAAAAACTGTACTTGAAAAATAACTAAATAAAATTAAAAAAAAGAAAAGCATTGTTGTGGAGTCCATCTTGATTGCACTATCTGATCAGCAGATTCATGTATTTCCATGTAAATTGCTGATGATGTGTTTTTGATGGAACAATGTTCATTTAGATTAAATTCATTGTGGCCCTTCTGAAAAAATAAAAATAAAAAAAATAAACATGAAAAAAATACCTGAAGTAATTGTACTTTCAACCTCTCCCAGACATGCAGTCTTTATCAACCAGTCTGAGATTTCCTGATTAAGCACCAATGAAATAATCTGTCATGTGAGCCTACTCCATCCTCCCCTCCATAGAAAGAAGAGGCAATCTGCATGATAAAAACCCTAATAATTTTCTCCACCCCCCAAAAAAGACTTCATGATCTAAAAATAATTCTTTTGTTCATAGCTTTCTCCCCCACCCTTCTACCTTTAAAGCTTTCCATTTTGTACAACCCATTGGAGTGGCCTTCTAGTTGCTAGATGAGATGCTGTCTGAATTTTGTCTTTCCTGAATAGTTTTGTAGCTCAAAGTCTCTGGGATCACGCAAGTTGTATAAATGTAAATCGAGAACTTTCATGCAGCCAGGGTCATGGTTATGAATACTCAGGAGAACCTTCTTTTTTCCACATAGACCTGGACCTCTGAGACAGATAAACTCCTTTATTTATGTATTTTTAATAAGATGATGAGCAGGGTTGTTTCTGTCTAATCTGTGTTTTCTCTAGGGATTTAGTTCATTACAAATTCTGACCTTATTTTGAAATTCATGCCCATTTCCTTATTTTGCACTAACCCAAAGCCTCATATTCAGTATCTATATAAATGCTGGAACTCAAGCCTGTTGGGTATTCTAGGGTTTACCACATAATATTCATGTTGTTCTTTATTTTTGGTCTTCCAAGATTTCTCATACTTTCATATGAGCTCAGCCTTGTATTTCAAAGAGACTTTATTATATTTTTCTATCACTTACGGTTGTCTTAGTTGGAAAAATTTTTAAATTATTTATATTTTCATGTTGCTAGAAATGAAGGTTATAATTATTTCTTTGGGGTCTACTTCTCCTTTTAAATTGCAAGATCCAACTGCGAGTCATAGATGATTTATAAAAATAAAAACAGTGCTTAGCACTAGAAGGTGCTTATTTAATATTTGTTAAATAAATATTAAGTTAATATCTGGCATGGGTACTATGGCAAACCTGGCAACTGGATGAAAGGAGGAGGCCTGCAGTGCATGCGAGAGCATCAAAACCAAATTTGCCTAGAACTGATTTTCAGAAGAGAAGACATCCAGTGTTTGGCAGGGGAAGTGATTCACGTGGTGGTTTACATGGAAGAAGTAGAAATTGCCTCAGTGTTACACAATTATCAACATCTGTAGTGAGGAATATCTAGTTAACTGAAGTGGAGATAAAATCTTAACACATGATTACAGAAGTTATCATTTAATTTTGTAGCCAGATAAATGGGTGTAGATACCAGAAATTTAGCTTGATCCTCTAAGTCAGCAAAATTAAAACCTCATTTCTTTATAACTTTGAGATGAGGGTGTTTTTTTTAGGGGGGGTGGGATTTGTGAAGTTTAATAATAGCTAATACTTGTGGTACACTTACTGTATTCTACATACTATTCTCCAAAGTTTTACATATATTAATTTATATAATCTTCATAATAACCTATTTCAATATAAGGAGACTTAGATACAGAAAGAGTGAAAAACAAATATCTTACCCAAAATCAAGCAGTAAATTTCAGAGCTCTGAAATTTCAAACTCTGGCATTCTGACTTCAAAGCCAGTTACAGTGTACTCTGCATTAGGATCAAGTATCTGATAGGAACATGACAAATCACTACTTAGGCAAACACTGTTATGTGGATCAGATCCAAAGTGAAATACCTTACATAAATGTTTTAATGTTCATTCAAAAGGAGTATATAAATAGAAGAGCAGAAACTATCCTAATTGTCCATTTTTAAAAATATCTTTATGGTTTTCAGGCAAAGTGGCAGTGGTGTGATAGCAGATACTGTTATGAAATTTAAATTCCCTAGAAATAACAATGGAGCATCAATGAAAAGCAGAATTGAGTCTGTTTTACGTCAAATGCTGAATAACTTTGGAAACCTGGAAATAAACCTTCCAACTGAGATAACAAGCAAGTACCATATATATGATTTTGTTTCAATATATCCCTCCATTTAAGTAACCCATGTTTTAACTTAATGAGACTGACCTTTTTTTCCCCTTGGAATTAAACCTTATAAAAAGAATATATTATAAAGTTAGACATAGTATGTGGCCCTCTAATACAGAACATTCTAAAGTTTAGAGAATCATTTGGCATTCATATAGTAAATTTTATTTGCTGAAAATTCTTTATTAATTTTCTTTTTCAATACTCCTTATGATAGATGTTGTTGTGAGATGTTTGATTTGTAGGTATGTTATAGGAATGGTAAGTGGCTTCTCAAGGCCAGGAAGAATTTAATTAATAATCACCTCACCCAGAACAAAGCATGCGGCTGTAAGGTGTCAGGTAAATATTTGTAGAATAAAGAAAAATAGGAGATTTAGCAATATCCCTATATTTTCTCTGAAAATCATCTCCATTTCTGTCTTCCTTGAATGTATGTCCATTTCATTTTATCCCTTTTGCTACCACTCTGGTCCATACCAACATCATTTCTCATTTGAACTTCTGCACTGGCTGCCATACTACTGTTTACATATATTTTCTTGGCCCCTTGAATTCTGTTTCACACATATTGATCAAAGAAATATTTTACAATACAAATACAACCTTGCTTAGAAGTTTCCTATGGTTTCCCATAAAACACACATGTGCACACACACACACACACACACACACACACCCGTGTAAGTAGAACACCATACTTTCTGGTTTGCACAGGACAGTCTCATTTCATGTCAGTTGTTCCAAGACCCATGATCAATATTGCTTCCTAACTGTCCTGGTTTGGACAATAAATATTACGGCCAATTCATCTAAAGCACTGCATGATCTGATTCATACTTACCTCTCCAGCCTTGTAGTGTACCACTCTCTTCCTAATTCGGCATAATCTGGCCACACTGTCATTTTTCTCCCAGCTTCCAAGTTCCTTTTTTCTTGCCTCCAGGCCTTCGCCTACATGTTTCCAATTTATTATAATACTTCCTAGCTTACCGCTGTGCCTCTATCAGGTCTCATCAAAACTGTTCATTTCTAATGTAAGCCTTTTCTAACTTCCATCACTCAATTATTTGCCCTGGTAACAGTCTCCTTCATTTACCTTCATAACATTTACCACAAAAGAAGCTACACAATTATCTGTAATTTTTTTGTATTGCTCATCTTCATCCTATTCTGTAAGCTTCCTAAAGGCAAAAACCAGTCTGTCTTGTTAATCCTACTGCACTACTACTTAGTAACTCGTATAAAAGATACTCCATTAATATTTGTTGCATGACTAACAGAATTACTTAATGTAGGCATAGAATTTAATGCATGCAAAATTGGACACTCCTCCAACTTTGTCATATACTGCGAGCTTAGTAAACCATGATTCCCTCATAATTAGCTCAAGATTAAAGAATATTGGTGGCTCCCACACTGGACTGGTATTCAATCTGATTGTTTTTGAACAGGTAGGAAAGTGATTTGAAATCTGTTCATAAACAATCACTGTACCAGGAGCACAAAGTTGCCTCCCTGGCCCTAACCTGGACTCCCAGCTCTTCTGCTTCAACTCCATGGCTGATGTGTCCTTTCTGATTGGCCAACACTCATACATTACAGTGTGTTTAATCCTCACAACAGCCATATCTTGTAGACACTTTCATTAGTTCCACTCAGAAAAGGTAGATAATTGCCCAATGTCACAAAGTCAGCATGTAGGGAAGTCAGGATTTGAAGTCAAGTATCTCTGTTCAAAGAAGAAAAAACAGTAGTCAGCTCTTTTTATTTCCTGCTTCCAAAAAGATTTTTTAGCTCCTCGAATGCAAGTCATATGTGATAACCAAGCCCTGTGAAACTTCTGGCAGTCAATAAATTTTCATAAGCTAAAATGATTTTAGAGAGCATGATAACCTGTCTGAGAAGTTTAGATTTATCTTATAGGAAGTAAGAAGCTGATTTCTCATCAGAAGATTTCAAGCAGAAAAGGATATGATCTAACACACATTTTTAGAAAAATCAATCTGGTAAAGTAGAAGTGGATGCATGTAAAAGTCCAAAGTCAAGGCAGGGAACCCAGTTTGAAGGTTATTGTGAGAGTATAAGTGTCAAATGATGAAAGCATTAACTGAAGTAGTGGCCAAAGGGTGGGAGGATGAGGCTAATTCAAAGGAGAATTAGAGGCTAGAAGGTAAACAATCTGAAAACCAATGAGATGTGAAAATGACAAGAAAGAAAGTGTTAAAAGACCATTTCAGCTGTCCAGCTACTGGCAGAAGTGGTGTTGTTACTACATGAGAAGCCTAGAAATTTATATTTCAGCAGCCCTATAAGTGTCCTTGATTATGGATATCAGAGAGCTACACTTTAAGAAATTAAAATGAAATGACATACAGTCCTTACTGTATTAATCTTACTCTCATTCTTTTTGTCTTGTGATGCCAGCAATTACTGACGAGGATGCAATACATCTGATCACTCAAGGTAACTTTTAAAATTATTTTATAAATTGGTTTACCAGAATATAAAGAGTAAGTGGTCATTTGTGCTCTTTGCCAAGGCAGTGTCTGTTGAGGTGATAATGTTACTCTTAGTTCACAAAAGTCGTTGTTGAGACATTGTCAGTTCCTTTGGCCCATGGAGTTACAGTCAGTTTCCCCCTCCTTTTAGAAGAAAGAAGCAGTAGCAGTGACATTCCACCCAATTCATACTGTGACCTCATGAAAAATTTCTTGGCAGCTTTGGGAAGCTGTCCCTGCCTGGTCTTATGGTGGCGTTTCCATAGAGTTATAAATTATGTTTGGTGACATCATTTATATGGCTTCTCTTAACCACAAGAATAGTTTGCTTCATTGTAGATTTTAGTTCATTATAAAGCATAATTTTTAAAAACCGTAAAAAGAGTTGTCAGCTTTATGTCAATAACCTAAAGGAAAAAATCACTACTTTCCAATGCCATTCTGTACACTCTTAAGCTAGGATAGCAGAAATAGAATCACTAGAAAACAGCAGTTTGCTTCTCTGCTGATAAATGTAGTTAGAAAGTACTTTGATGTGTCTGGATAGCTGCCCTATTTCAGATGCTTAAGTGTTGTTACAAGATAATGCTACCTCTGCGGGTGTTATTCAACTTCATTATACATTTAATTTACGCTTTCTTTTTAATGAAAATATGCTTATGTAAATTACTAGAAGATCTGGTTGGAGGATGCAGCAAAGGAACCTATATTTTTAATGGAAATCTGGACCTTCTCTATCTGGGAAGTCAGGAAAAAAAATGCCTTTGGATGGTTGTCATATTGAAGCAATATCACTACTTTAGATCTTGCTAAGCAATAGAAATTGTTGATGCTAATTTAGCTGTAATTTCTCAGTAATAAACTGAATAAGGGGAAATAAATCCTGGGAATGGGAGTCGAAAGGAACTGAGTGATGGCCCCACCCCCACCCATTTCAGCTTCAGCCATTGGAGCTCAGGGGCTTTCTTAAGATAGTGTTTATTTATTTGTTTCATTTTTTTAATTTTTAAAGTTTTCAATTATAATTTATATTCAATATTATTTTTATTAGTTTAAGATGCAGATGTTTAAATAAACCTGTGTGTGTGTGTGTGTGTGTGTGTGTGTGGTGAGAATGCTTGAGATCTACTCTCAGTCACTTTAAAGGAGTAAGTTAAAAGGAATTACTTTCCTTTTTTTTTTTGCAAATTTACAATACACACTTCAGAATATTAAAAGCTTGGAAAAATCCGCTGCTAATGTAACTTTAGGTTTGCCAAATCCAGCATTTTGCAAACTTATTTGATATCAAAATCTTTCTTTTTCTTATTTATTTTTTATTGTTGTTCAAGTAGAGTTGTCTCCATTTTCCCCCAACTATCCCCCAACACCCCACCTCTATCCTCCTCCCACCCTTGATCCTATTACTTCAGATCCACAGAATGTTCTCGAGTGACAGGATCTTAAGCATCTTCACTCACACACAAAAAGGAGTTAACTATGTGATCTGATGGATGTATTAATTATCTCGATTTTGGTCATTATTCAACAATGCATATGTGTATCAACTCATCATATACTTTAAATATGTACACTTATATTTGTCAATTATTCACCAATGAAGTAGGCAGAAAATGTAGAATCTGATTTGTTCCCTAGTGTGGGTCTAAGAGTCAGTATTTCTCTTTTTTTTCCATCTTTGAGGTAAAATTGACAAATAAAATTATAAGATAAATTATATAAAGTGTACAATGTCATGCTTTGAGATATATAGATAGATACATATGTACAGTGAAAAGATTCCCCTATCTAGTTAATTAACATATCCATTACCTCACATACTTACCTCTCCCCCTCCTTTTTTTAGTAAGAACATTTAAGATCTATTCTCTTAGCAAATTCCAACTATACAACACAGTGTTATGAACTATGGTCACTGTGTTATATATTAAATCCTCAGACCATCTTCACATTATAGCTGAAAGTCTATACCCTTTTACCAAACTTTTCTTATTTCCCCCACTCTCCAGGCCCTGACAACTGCCTTCTACTCTGTCTCTATGAGTTTGATTTTCCTTTTTAAGGTTCCACATGTGATATACCATGTAGCGCTTGTTTCTGTTTGGCTCATTGCATTTAATACAATATGTTCAAGGCTTGCCAGTGTTGTTGCAAATGATAGAATTTTCTTCTTTTTAAGGCTAAATAATAGTCCATCATTCCATTGTGTATGTGTGTCACATTTTCTTGATCCATTCATCCACTGACAGATACACTTAGGTTGTTTCCATACAGCACCAACACTTGTAATAGCTCCCAGGGATGTCAATACTGCAGGTCACAGATCACACTGAGTAACAAGGCTACTGAGAAGATGGAAATTTCCTAGTGAACCTGTGGCCTGAGCTGGTGCACCCAACACTGAACTATCTTAATCCCAACTCCTGAGGAATTCCTAACTCTGAAACTGTTCCAGATTTGAATCTACATACCAACTAAGTTCAGAAATGGTCTCTAAAATTCAGTTTATAAGCAACAATAGTCACCTAAGTACTATAAAAATATAATAAATTGATCATGCTTTTAGAAAGGCTAACATACCCAGGGAATGAATGCATAAAAGTCATAAATGATGGAGGGACTCTTCAAACATCTCCCAAAAGTAAATGGAATCATGATATTCCCAACACATTAATGCCTTTTCTTGTTAGAATGTGGGGCCCGTCCAGACCTAATGACACTGTCTGCTGAGAGAGTCATTGGAGGCACCAATGCAGAGGAAGGAGACTGGCCATGGCAAGTCAGTCTACAGCTGGATAACGTTCACCACTGTGGAGGCATCCTGATCGGCAACACATGGATCCTGACAGCAGCTCACTGCTTCAGAAGGTGAGACCACAGCTACCTGCCCACATGGAACAAGGACAGGAGCCACATGCATGAGGACTCCACCCAAATCCCCAGGACTAGATGTGATTAGATTGAGTCATAAATCATTCAATGCAAAAAAATGAGTATTTTTGTCCTATTCATAATAGCAAAAATATTTTTTCACCTTCAGCTTACTAATTTATTTTTATTTTTTTAAATTCAGGTAATAGTATATCATCATGGTAAATAACAAAGATTTATATGCCAGAATGATCAATTTGAATCTCAGCTACAAAGTTAGAAAATTTTCTGCACCTCCACAAGCCTCTCTTTTATTATTTTTTCAAATTGGGGGCAAATAGGAATATACATTTTATCTATGTCTTAGTGTTATTGGTAGAACTAAATATGCTAATGCAAACATGTTAAATGTTAGCACAATGAAACATTTTAAGTGTTAGCACAAATGTGCTGCAGAAAATTTTCACATTATATCATGTAAGCTAATCAACAGACTGATGGTTGATTTCAGACTGTTCTTTGCCATTGATTCATTCTTTCAAAAAATTGAGTGACTACTATTAGCATAACATTAAATATTATAGAAGCTAATTAAGCAAATGCTGCCCCTACTTCAAGGAGCCTACATTCTAATGTTGAAGGTAGCCATATACAAAAATAATGTTATAGGGAGTAACATAAATAAAACAGATCTAAACAACTTACAGAAAATTCTTCATTAATGTGAATAAAGGTTATTGCAAACATGATTAGAGTAATAAACTGCCAGTGTATAGAAGGATGCATAAACTTATTCTATTGGCATAAAGAAAAGGTCCTACTGCTCATAATAGATCTTTAGACTTTAGTGTGACTAAAACCTACTAGGTTCAGACCTACCTTATCATTAGGATACTCCAGACACAAACATTGTGGAGGAACTAAACTCTCAAAGTTCACTCAGAAAAGTGATGCCAATTTGAGCTCATGTGTCTCTGTCCATATCTCTTCTCTTCTGAAACTCCTTCAATAACCTCTGTCTCAAATCCATCCTCCTTACCACACTCCCAAAGCACTCCAATTACAGCAATTCAGACTTCTTTCTCAAAGCATGAACCTTTTTTAAAATATATTTTATTGATTATGCCATTACAGTTGTTCTATTTCCCCCCTTCATTCCCCTCCATCCTGCACACCCCCTCCCCCACCATTCCCCCCTTTAGTTTATGACCACCTGTCTCAAGTTCTTTAGATTCTATATTTCCCCTACTATTCTTGCCCTCCCCTCTATCTATTTTCTACCTACCATCAATGCTACTTATTTTCTGTACCTTCTCCCCCCTTCTCCTCCTCCCACTTTCCTGTTGCTAATCCTCCATGTGGTCTTCATTTCTATGGTTCTGCTCCTGATCAAGCTGTCCTTTTATTTTGCTTTTGTTTTAGGTGTGATTCTTAATAACTGTGAGTTTGCTGTCCTTTCACTGTTCACCTTTTTTATCTTCTTTTTCTTAGGTAAGTCCCTTTAACATTTCATATAATAAGGGCTTGGTGATGATGAACTCCTTGAATTTGACCTTATCTGAGAAGCACTTTATCTGTTCTTCCATTCTAAATGAAAGCTTTGCTGGATGGAGTAATCTTGGTTGTAGGTCTTTGGTTTTCATTACTTGGAATACTTCTTTCCAGCCCCTTCTTGCCTGTAAGGTCTCTTTTGAGAAATCTGCTGACAGTCTGATGGGAATTCCTTTGTAGGTGACTGTCCCCTTATTTCTTGCTGCTTCTAGGATTCTCTCCTTCATTTTAATCTTGGCTAATGTAATTATGATGTGCCTTGGTGTGTTCCTTCTTGGGTCCAACTTCTTTGGGACTCTCTGAGCTTCCTGGATTTCCTGGAAGTCTATTTCCTTTGCCAGCTTGGGGAAATTCTCCTTTATTATTTGTTCAAATAAGTTTTCCACTTTTTGCTGTTCCTCTTCCCCTTCTGGTACCCCTATAATTCAGATGTTGCAAAGTTTAAAGATGTCCTGGAGGTTCCTAAGCCTCTCCTCATCTTTTTGAATGCTTGTTTCTTCATATTTTTCTGTTTGGTCATTTTTTTCTTCCTTCTGGTCCACTCCTTTGATTTGAGTCCCAATTTCCTTCTCATTACTATTGGTTTCCTGTGCATTTCCCTTCATTTCAATTACTTTAGCCTTCATATGTTCCTCTAATTTGTGACTAAAATCAACCCGTTCTGTGAGCATCCTAATCACCAGTGTTTTGAACTGTGTATCTGAAAGTTTGGCTATTTCTTCATTGCTTAGATATATTGGCTCTGGGGCTCTGAGTTGTTCTTGAGCCATGTTTTGATCTGTTCATCCCTCCTCAAAGCATGAATCTTGAGCTCCAACCAAATTGCATTAGTGTGTGCCCTGGGACCCTTCCTACATTTTCCCACTTAGGAGCATTTGCTCAATCTGATTATTCTCTTCAAAATGTTAATATTCCTTCCAAACCTCCATTTATTCCTATTTAAATTTTGTAAAATCTTCACCATTTTTAAGAAGTCCTTTGCAATTTGAGGGTACCACCTCATACTACAATGCCTCTTACAAAAGGCATTATTAAATTAAGAGGGAATAAAGTTTAACAAGACTAGCACATGGATTGTGATGAAATGTTTTATAAAACCCCAAATTATTCTGAATTTTCTTTATGGCTATAACTCAATATATTTTTTACACAGTGAATAAATTTGAAATTTCTGATAGCAGAAATTTCTGGTATTGAGAGTAGTATAATTTCTGATTTAGATAAACACATTTATTGCTGTGTCCCAGAAAATACAAATAACAAAATTAACAAAAAACATTTCAATCTATTGCCACCCAAAAGGCCTAAGAATAGGAATGGCACTAATAGATTTCAATCACCCCTGAATTTAGGAATTGGAAATGTAAATACATGGACTTAGCAAGCATTAAGAGTAATCAAGAATGTGATAGAAATAGTTGTAGATTCTTCTAAGCCCTATCCAGATCCACCCACCAAAAGCTGGGTAAAAGGTATCACTATAATGAAAGCCACAGTTATAAATATCACCAATGATAGCCAAAGAAATCCATGATTTTTAAAGGCTTTGAACATTTGGGGAAGTTTGCCTCCCCAGATCCTTCTATTCACTACCCTGACTGATTCCCCAGGGCAGGCAAACTACATGGCCTTGTAATAAATAGTACTGTTCCTGTGGACCTGATTGTCACTGAGAACCCATCAGTGAGAATTTGTTTGGGGCATGACCAATTTTACATCAAGGCACATAGAAGTAATGAGGCCCTCATAGAAAGGAGTCTTCAATTGCCACTTCCTCTGTGAAGCTTTCCGTGATGCTCTCTTCCCTTTCCTACCGTATTCCCACAGAAATTTGCTAATTAACCTTTAAAAGTAGTCTCTGTGATTTATGATGACCTCTGTTAGTTTCCTCCATTAGTGTGTAGAGCTGCTCAAGGACAAGACATTAATTATTTGTACTCTTACTCCCAGAGAGTCACACTATTCATTACACAAAGCATATGCCTAGTAATGGCTTGCTGAAGTATAATTAATGAAAATAATAGTTACCTTCATTGACTACTTACCTTGTGCCAAGCACTGTGTTTGACAGTTTACTTGTCTGAATTACTACTTACACTTGTGTGAGGGGGAATCATCTACAACATTTTGTGCATTAAATAAACTGAAAATAGGACAGTTTAAGTAAATTGCCCTAAATAACACCATTAATATGGTACATAGCCAAGATTCAAATCTAAATCTAATTGGTTCCCAAACTATGCTCTTATTCATTTGCTGAAAAAAAAAATAAGTAAAGGAAGGAGAAAGGTTATAAAAGTCAGGGAAGCAAGGAGGCAACAAAAACAGAGAGAAACAGAATATCTTTTAGAATCTTCACTATAAAGATGTTGATCAAATGAAGTTCAATGTAAAATCTATATTTACTTGTCAAATATTTTTCTTTAGAATCTTTAACTACTATTTACTCTTATACAAGCTGCTGTGCCTTATAACAGCATATCCTGGATAAATAATTTTTATTTTCTGTATCAGTTCCACTATCTATATCTAAACTACACAAAACTATTAAATTACTATATGGTTACATTTTGTTTTTGTTCAATTTTAGAAGGATGTTGAGTTAAGCTTACCATTCACAGATCCTTATTTTTATCAGTCTGTACAAGATCTTTCTCTTTTTATTTTACTTTTATTATTTTATATGTGGATCTTACTTCTATGGCCCTCTCTGCCCTCATAGACCTTACAGTAATATTTTACATATATCTTTAAGTACACAATTACCTACACAATTTAAAGAGGTTTTTCCAAGTGTGTGATTATGCCTTTGATTTATAAAAGTAGCATTGTGTATAATGTCTCATATCTTTCCTTACTGTTTTGGCTCAACCCTGAGAATTTTAATCTGGTCCACCACAGAATCCACCATATTTTTTTATTCAAGTAGGCTGTTCCAACTTCTCACTAACACAAAGATTGTGTATACACACACACACCTTCATATGTGCCTATTTATAAACCTTCAAGAATTTCTCTGAAATTTGTACTCAGAAGTACATATGTAGTCTGCCAAATACAATAGAATGCTTTCCAGAGATGTACATCTTCACCAGTAATGCAAGAGTTTGAACTTTTTCTCTCCATCAACATATTATTTTCTTCCTGAACTTTTATCAATTATGAATATTCATTAGATGCTCATTGTTATAATTTCCGTTTCTCAGTTTACTAGCGGGTTTAAGTATTTTTTCACATATCTGTTAGCTGTTTGGCCTTCTCTTTCTATGAATTGTCTATTAATATATTTTGACACTTTATAATGGTTTTGCTGTACATTTGTTATTGATTTATTGGCCTGGTTCTCTATATTATACAGAAAATTTTGATATTAAATATTGCAAGTATTTTCTCATGGATTCTCATCCATCTAGTAAATTTGCTGATGGTATACTTAATTTTGATTCCATGAAATTCATCCATTTTTAACTTACAGTTTTTGTATTTGGGGAGTTTGACCAGAAAAGTCCCACTTTGTAGATCATGGAGATAATGCCCTACTTTTTCCATCTCAGTGAGTGCTTTGACTCCCGCCCTTACTCTCGATCTCATTCTCTCTCTCTCTCCCTCTCTCTCTCCCTGCACACACAGATACACATAAGTACACACGCTTCACACACATATGCACAAAAATCTTCAATAAACATCACATTTAATGCAGAAAAATCATTCATCAAATAAGATGGGAGCCCCTTATCATCACTACTATTTAAAAGGAGTTTTGGCTAAAGGCAAAAAGAAGAAAAATAAAAATTGGAAGAAATGAGTTAAAATTAAAGCAAACATTATTTCAGACTTCTTAGTTGCTGGGGAGACTTCAGTGAGGGCATTTGTGTTACACTAGTTATCAAAGTATCGGAATATCCTCATTGGAATAGAACAATACCGAGATTTTCACCAACCTGAGGTATATTTTCTAAAATCTTTCTATGTTTCTTTAGACAAATGATTGCTCGTTGTGCCAATGAAGAGTTAAACTCATTTACTAGCTATTTAATACAGAAATATATAGCAAAGAGAGGTTGACCAAATAGTTCCTAGATGATGGTGGAGAGTGCCAAACACAAAATCCAAATACTTAAAATGCTCACAGATTCCCTATTCAAACCCATGGTTTCATATATATTTTTTTTTAGCAACTCCGATCCTTCCAGATGGACTGTCACGTTTGGTGTTTCCACAACATTTCCCCAAAAGACAGAAAGAGTCAGTACTATTTTGATCCATAAAGATTATAACTCCGGAACGCATGAAAATGATATTGCAGTTATGAAACTTAGCAGAACTATCACCTTTAACAAAGATATACACATGGTGTGTCTCCCAGAGGCTACCCAGAATATTTCACCTGGTTCCACTGCTTACGTAACAGGATGGGGATCGCAAATAAATGGCGGTAAGTAACTCAGGAGAAATAAAACAAAACAACAATATAACCTCTGGTACTTGCTATTACATAATATTTAAATTAGGGAACACCTGAAAGATAGACTCTATAGATATAAGCATACTATATCCTGGTCAGTCTAAACTGTAGTTATTCCTGAGGTTCCTCAGGAAAGCAAAGCATTGCCTCTAGCAAGTATGGAGAATTTTCAAACTCGTAAGAAAATGTAAAATAGAGTGATGAAGAAACATTAGTTCTTCAATGACCCAGGGACTCCACATGACTCAAACGGCTCCCCTATTTTAAAAAATATATACTTTTTTAAAAGGAGGAATTGTCTAGGTGTTCTCTAAGGGTTTTAATGCCCTTTAAGGTATTAACAGCCATTTAAGTTATTCTGGGATGAAATCCTGCCTCAAGCATTGCTCAGATTTGTTTACTGAATGAATAAAATGGAAATATGAGGAAGCAAATAGGGCTAAGGGGAAAATAAGAGAATCAGCCAGGGAGTGAAAAAATGGCATTAATAATTTTCATGGGTTATTGGGGACAACTATAACAGCACAAACAATAAAGTATAAATTTCAATTTTTCCATGGGTGTATACCCATGTTGTAGATGTGTCTCCAGAATAATAGAAAAATTTAATTGTCCAAGAAAATATTTTGTGGTATTCTCATGGCCCAAAGAAATTTGGTGTATATAAAAAATGTGTGCCAATCACAAAAATGGCAGTGCCATTTTGAGGGAACATCAATGTAAATCAATTAGTTCTTTAGCCTTGAAACCAGATGGGTTTCTCTTTTGTTGCTAGATTAAAGATTTTTAAATATGTAATTTTCCAATTCAAAGTCAATCAGTGGGTAATTTAAATGTTGCTAATCAGTTTTAAGATAGCAGATTTGTTTATTTTCCTTTTAAGGTTTAAGGGGCATCACAAAGCTAAAGCAAAGCAAAAACAAAAAAAAAAAAAGGAGAGAGAGAAACCAGTCTGTGTAAAAAGCTTATCTTCCTTTACTTATGGGTATGTTTTCTGACAAGAGACTCTTAAGTACATCTTTAATATTTTTCTTTTTAGAATAAGAGGTAATGTTTGGAGTATATTTATTCCTTTCTATATTCACCATAGAGTCATTAATTTATTTGTTCTGAATTCCATTTTCTTTCTGCTTTATAATTAACAGGTGACACAGTTACAGACCTACGTCAAGGACGGGTCTACATAATAAGCAACGATGTATGTAATGCACAAATTAGTTATGATGGAGCCGTCTTGCCTGGAATGCTATGTGCTGGATTGCCTGAAGGTGGAGTGGATGCATGCCGGGTAAGTTCAAGACAGTGTTATCAACGACTTCATTTAACTTATAAGTTCTTACTAGCATGTGATGCTGTGATGGGCATAGAGGTAAATTATAATACACAGTCCTAATCCTCTAAAAATCTATGATTTAGATTTTAGAGATGAAATTTCTTTTATGAAGTTGCTTTGTCATAAAGTACTAATTCTAAGAAGCCAAATTATAGCATAGTTAATCACTGAAGCTCAAGAACCAGACAGAGCTGAATTTGAATTTCTTAATCTCTATAACCAATTATTATCAATAAAATGAAGGTAATGATTATAATATTATGTAACTTTTTAATGTATTACTGAAGAGTAAATGGAGATTCAATTTGTCAGGCACATACTAAGTAACAGAGAAATATCAGCTATCACCACTCTTTTTACTGATGTTATTAATCTGGATCATTATCACTGACATTGATTACTTTAATCTCAACCTTTTAGCCACTAGGAGAATTTAAATAAATTACTTACACACCTAAAAGTCACAAAAAATAATGGATTTTAAAATATAAATAACACCTGAATATCAGCACCTTGAAGATAGAAAACTTATACAGAAAGCTTAGTTACTTGAGTTACAACAACTCTCATAATTGTAAAACAGAACAAATGAGAAAAAAACTATTTAGATCTAGCTTATAATTTTTAACCAAATATAAAAAGGCAACCAATAAAAATGAAATTCTTCCTGTAAAATCACTAAAATAAGATTTTAACACTAAAAATTTTAGTCATCTAAACAATTGATGTGACTATATCTTTTAATAATTTTATTGTCATGTCTGAAACCCAACCCCATATATTAATTGTAATAACTACTTAATATCAGAAATTACATTTCTGGATTTTAGAAAAATCAACGTGTTCTCTTGAGGAATCTGATATGTTTTCCTGGGAGTTGTGTGCAGAAAAACCAAGTTTATTCTTTCTTCAACTATTACTGACTTTTATATTTGTTGTTCACATTTTTTAAAAGTAGATTAGAAGTAGTTCTTACATAACTTTTGTGACAACCCCAATCTATACATACTTTTCCCAAAATGAAACATTTTTATTCACTGCAAGTTGTGTGTAGATGAGGGGAAATGCTTATCAATTTTCAAGATACAGTTAATTATACATGGCCCTTTATTTCCTTAAAGTAGAAGTGAGTTTGTGCTAGAGAATGCTTCTTTCTCCCCTAACTGCTTCTTTTTTATCGCTAGCCCTGTAACAACAAATTTGTAGCTTTCATTGTAGTTTTCAAATGAGGAACACACCTTTATACTGACTTTTCCAGATCTACGAACAGCATTAATTAGAACTGACTTAGGATACACATGAGTATAAAAGGGTGTTATTCATGCTTTATTAATGATGCCCTTTACCTTCTACATACAAATGGGCTCTTCCTCCAAGCCTAGTTGAAGCCATAATTCATCATGAAACTTCTCTGTATGTTCTACTCCCAGCCTCACTGATTTTCAGCTGAAATACTATAATGCATAGAGTTTGTGCCTCGAGAATAAATAGCACATTACATAAGAGCTTATGATGTTCTATTCATTTCTGTTCATTCATTCAAAGAAAATATATGAATTAGTTTCTATGCATCAGACGATGTGCTAACACAACAATGTGTTCCCTGCACTCAGCAAAACTATGGTCTAGAAGAGAGAACACAAGCTCAAATGTCTGCACAATGGGACAGAGAAGCTGGCCAGATATGGGAAAAATCACATAGCCCTCTTAGTTTAACATTTCTTGTGCACTCTTGGTAAGATATTACACAGAGAAATTTCTTTCTATAGAGGAAATAACAGCAAAAACAATGATGAAAAAAGTGATTAACTGAAGCACAGATGCATAATCTAAAGGAGGCAGGTGCCAATCAACTCAGTGCAGTACTTGCCATGCAAGCTGGTGACTCACACATTGACCTTCCTTTCCACCTAGACCAGTAATTAAGTAGTTATGTAAGAACTAGCTACTAAGAGCAGTCAAATGAATAGCAAACTATTCTAGAAGCACACTTGGTAATAATAGCTGACTTTTATTAGCACTGACTATATGCTGGGTAGTATGTGTGTTAAACTTATTAAAACACATAAAAACATTATTTACAGGTAAGGAAACTGAGGCACAGGGAACTATTAAATAGCTTACTGAAAGTTACATAGCTGATAAGTTGAGGACTCAAACCCTGGCCATCTATCTCCATAACTCGTAGACTTACCCTCTCATGCAGCATGTAAGACTTACTAAATTGTTTTCCCAAGTAAAGATTGTATGCAGATATTTGTTAGTTGGTTTATTATTATAATTAGCTGGTAAATATTTTATAAGGAGTATTTTACTCATTGCCATATATATATTTCTGCTTATTCACCAAAAATTATTTTTTAGTGGTACCACACAGGGAAAGTACTATAAATAGGAGAATAAGAGAGGCTTCTAAAAACTCATAGATTCAACAAATGTTTTCTTAACATCTCTTATGGGCTAGGAGCTTGAGATACAGCAGTGTCTGGTATAGGTACAACCCTTCCCTCATGGACTTTGTAGAATAGCCATAAAAACACAACGAATGTGTATTATGAATGCAACGAGGGTTGCACAGATGTGCGGCTGCTACACTGAGGAGAACAGATCCAGCTGGAGGAAGTTCAAACAGGCTTGTGCAAATCAATGAAGAAGCAAATGTGCTTTTGCAAAATAATGAAGCAGTGAAAAAGATGTATGCAAGATGTGGGAATACAGACAGTGACAAAGTAATCCCAAAGGTGGAGGGGTGGCAATGGAGGTTTGCGGGGAAGACGGAGGTAGTCGGGGAAGGCTCCCTGAAGGAGGTCAAGTTTATGATGACTGGTCAACCAGGGAACTGAGAGGGCACATGGGAATTTTATCTTCTCATGCTTGCTGACAGAATAATGGGTCCTTGGAAGATTTTGATAATTTTCACCTGACTTGGTACAATAACTTAATAGAAAATGTCAGATTAACATTATTTTCATAATGGATATGACTTCTTCTACTGCCTTAGAAATACACTCCTTAATATCTGGGGTTGTTGTCACACTGAAATACTCAATCATTCTGTTTCTTCCAGGGTGACTCCGGTGGTCCACTAGTACAACAGGACTCCAGGCGGCTCTGGTTCCTCGTGGGGATAGTAAGCTGGGGGGATCAGTGTGCTCTGGCAAATAAACCAGGAGTGTACACTCGAGTGACAGCCTACCGCGAATGGATAACCCAACAAACCGGGATCTAGTGTAACAAGTTCCTCTTTGTGGCCAAGTCTGTATGCAGGCGTGCTCATCTAAAACTCCAAAACTTTACTTTTCAGTTTCACAAACACAATTTAATCTTTTCTTTACTCTAGATTTTATATTTTCTCAAGAAAAACATATGGATGTTGCATAGTAGTACTATGGCTATATGCCAGGGAAGAAATAGAGAACCGGTTAGAGAGTTAAGAATTTTATCATTGTTGTGGTAAGCGCTAGTAGTGGGGAAAGTAGGTACCCAAGCAGGGATACATCTACACAGTCAGAAGCTCCTTTTCTGAGAAAGTCTCACTGAAGCTAAGAAGTAGTCAAAGTGTCAAAACATGCAAAAAAAGAAGTGGAAGAATAATATTTAAGACAGAAGGAGAAATACAAAGTATGAAAAATACTATTTATTTAAAATTTCTGCTTACTTAGTATTTTATTTAAGTCCTAAAATTAAATATATGAAGTCACAGTACAGTTCCATAGCAAACTTAAATATCCTATAAGAACATGCTCCCATAGGAGATAACTGATGAATTTCAGGCATTTAAAATAGAAGCTAAAATATTCACTCCTCAATTAAGACCCTCAAAATTATGAATAATTTTCAGGATGAATTTTATCAGAAACATTCTTTAAAAAATTTTAAATATATTTTATTGATTATACTATTAACAGTTGTCCAATTTTTTCTCCCTTTTATTCCCCTCCACCTTGCACCCCCTTCCCACCATCATTCCCTGACCTTAGTTCAAAAATATTCTTCATCCATGTGAAGGAAAGAATTTATTTCCTCCTTAGAGAATTTTATGCAATACATCTACACAATCTTCTCGGATTACTTACAACTACACAGTGCTTGTTTACAACTAAATGAGAGTTGTGTAGTTGTATTTATACCAGAAGCAGTTATTTTTAATAGTTTAAGAATCCTCAATACCTACACCCAAATGATGAATAGACAGTCATGAGGGAAAAAATGTCAAAGGTTGGTTTGCAAACAGAAAGCTTAAATAGCTTAATTTCAATGAAATTATCTTAGATAAAGTATCTTTTCCCTCTTCCTCTCTCTCTCTCTTTCCCTGTTATACATGCACGCACACACAAATAAAATAAAATACACTAAAATGTAATGGGACAGCAATTTATATAGTCTAAATCATGAATGTTACTGAATTTCTATGGGATGCTAGTATAGCTAAAGCGTGGTTATGCATGATTATCTGTATGTCAGGGCTCTCTCCTTCCAAAAGCTAACTTGTGACACCCAGGTATCAGAGCAACTACACACACTATGATGAAATCTTTGTATATTTCCTCATGTACAATTGTGGTACTTACACCGAAGCCATTTACTTTTAAAGAAAAAAAAATGAAAATTTAACCATCTCTTCATGAAATGTATAAACAAATTGCTGGTTTTCCTTATTTCAAATAAACTCTTAAAATTTTTTCCCTGCCTAAGTATTTATGGAAGTCATAACATATGAAGGACAATCCTAAACAATTTATTTAATTGGTTCTCCAAGAAGAGAACTAACAAGACTCTAAAGGCTTGGCACTTTCTGTTGCCTTATAATCAAGCTCTGTAACTGAAGCAAGCGTCCAGCTGACACTCCCTTGCTGCACCCTGTGAGGACAGCATTGAACTGGTAATTTAGAGTACGCCCCAAGTGAACTGGGTTTTTTGTGCCTGTGTTGGTGTGTTTGAGAGTGTGTGTGTGTGTATGTACATGCTGTCACATAATCATAAATATATTTTTGTTTATTCCTATATTGAAACTATATATAGCAAAGTACTTATTTAGAAGAATATAGAGCAAACTCAATTATTTAGTGAAACTCTCGCAAAAACTTTCTAGCATCCTAACTCAGTGCCAGAAAGAGTTAGAAATACCAAAGAAAATCCTGTTCAGCATATAGAAAATAAACAGGCTAACCAATAAAAAACATGGCAAACAAACTGAATCCTTCTCAGTTTAAAATAGTGAACAGAACTAAGGAAACAGTCAGACTTATCCAAGAAAGTTTAAAGCAAAACAATTGACCTTTTCTTACACTTGGAGGTCTTGATTACAGAGTGTGGATCAATAGTTTAAAAATGCAGTGGGTGGGGCAGAGGGTGAAAATGGAGACAAATGTGCTTGGACAACAATTTAAAAAAAAGAAAAAAAATGCATTAAGCTCTTCTATTTCCCAGCATTCTACTACATCGTGATGAAACAAAAATATACCAGACATAGTCCCTGCCCTTAAGACACTCAGACAATGATGATGTAAGCAAATATATAACATTTGGAATATATATATATATATATATATATAGTGGAACCACATATATAATGGATGGAACAATGAAGAGTAGGATATTTAATACAAAATAACAAAAGAAGGGGGAAGTCCTAGAAGACTCTGGGAAAATATTTTATAATGATATAAAAAGTGAGTGTTCCAGAGCACCCATTTTCCAAGAACCTTGCTAATTCCGTTGTGGTCAGAGAGAAGAGAGCTACAAACTTCTCAGATTATTCACTCGAATTTAACACAAACTCTAATTTACCCAATTCAATTCCCTTCTTTCAATTTGCTAAACAATAAACGGTCTAAACAGAGTCAAAATAGATTTTCTCTTTATGCTTTTCATGGCTACAAATCTCAAAACCCAGTTTTTCATTTCTAATCAGTCAATTTGATTAATTGCCAATGAGGAAAACAGGTCACTTCCCCCACGTATTTCAGTTACTTACATCTATAAGAAACTATTGTTCTTTAGAAATGTTTTGGAAGATTTCTGGAATGGATTGGGCCTAAAAGAGATCATTTCTGTGTCCCTTTTCTCCCTGTGACACACAGATGGTTCGGAGAGAACATAAGAACTCTGTGGGAAAGTAATTCCAGAGTACTGAAACACTTGTTTGCTTGTTTAATCTGGTGCACAACCATGAAATAGATACTCTGGAGTAAAGAAGTCAAGCCAAATCCAAGTAGAAATTTCATTTTGGAGAAAAAAGCAACTGCACAAAATTGAAGAGTTAATTCCAAAGCAAATGGTGCTCACAGGGCATTTTCCAGGGCTACCCCTACATTTAACCTACCATCACACATACAAATTAAAATGAAATTACTAATGCAATAAAAAGTGATTTATTAATAAATGTTTTCCCTTGAAAAATTCATCTATATAACCAGTCATTTAGTTTATATATGTTTGTTTACAAATAGTTTTGAGCATTTATAACATATTACACAGTATTCTGGACTAATCAAAGCAAGTTCTAGGAAAGAAGAAGCCAGGCAGGGGAAGAAGCAAGGCTCAAAGTCCTGAGTGACAAGTCTGTGGATTTGAACAACAGCAAGGAGTCAATGTGGTTGGGGCAACACTAATGAAAGAGAAACTGGTTAGATGAGGGTGAAGAAATAGGTATGTGAGCCATATGAAGAAGTTTTGATTTTATTCTAAATTTAAGGACAAGATTTTGTGATCAATTTTCCATATTCTAAAGATTTATCTGGCTGCTCTAAAGAGAAAGAACTATGAGAGCACAAAAATAGAAGGGAGATGAGTCAGGAGACACAGTAATCCAGGAAAATAATGGGACTGACAGATTGAGGTGTGAGCCGTACAGATGGTGAGAAAGAGCTGAGTTCAGGAAATACCGGTAGGAAGACACAGTACAAATTTCTGATAGACTAGATTTAGTGGCAGAAAGAAAGGAAGAATCCAAAGTTGACTCAAATTTTTAGCCTGAAAAACTGAGAAGAAAATTTTGGAAGAGGACCAGGTTTAGGAAGAAGGAATCAAGTTTATTTCTGAATCTTATGGATGAAATGAGACAATCACACAGACCACCAAGTCCAGTGGAGGAAAGGGGACAGCATGGCTTTTCTCTCCAGGGGAGCAAAAGTCATAGCCCTTTATTAGGTTTCTCAGCACATTACAAGCCGGTCCTCATTTACTATGAACAGGTTGCTTTATGTGATTACCTTTTACAAAAAACAAAGGAGCTGATGCCACTAATCACATCATGGGAGAGGGATATTTGCAAATGAATAGGCAAATATAACTGGTTGGACCAGTTATACTCATCCTTGGAAGGTTTAGCATGGATTTTAGGAAGTTATTTTGCAGTAAATATTTGCTACAAATCTGGGTGAGGGAGTTTTTAGCAAAAAGCAAGACTCATAGCAGCCTAGGCACATTGCAGGCCTGATCCTCCACTGGAGAACCTATCTGTGGGTGTGGGACCTGTGCATCTCCAAGTGGGAGCTGGGCCCACGCCACACAGAACAGTCTCCTACAGAATCTGTTATATTTGAAATGCACAAGCCAGCAGGTCAGGCAATCAATGGTAAATACAGATATTGGAGGAATGATTAAGACAGGAAATATACTTTGAAGGCATTTACATTTTCAAAGAAGGAGGGAACAAGAGCTGCACTGGATGATCAGAAGATAGAATGGGAAATGTAGCTTTTAGAAAATAATATAAGGAAATATCTTGATGACCTCAAAAAATACCTTGATAGCTTAAGAAAGATGAAAAAATGTTTTTAAGTATCATAGCAAAAAGAAAGTTAAAGAAAAATGTTACATTTCACTTTATTAAAATAAAGAATTTTTTGTTATTCAAAAGGCTCTATTAAAGGCTGAAAAGGCCAAATGACAGTGCAAGAGAAGATACTGGCAATACACATAACTAACAAGCAGCCTGTATCTACAATTTATAGGGAATGACTACAAATCAATAAGGAAAACTCATAACTTGATAAAAATGGGCGAAAATGTGAAACAGGTACACCAAAAAAAGGAGGAATCCAAGTGACTGATAAATATAAGAAAGGTAGCTCAACCTCACTAGAGATAAGGAAAATAAAGTTGAGTAGAAAAGGGAAAAAGAGTTATGGATAACAGTGTCACGATTGCAGGTGGGGGGTTGTAGAGGTGGAAGAGGGTACAGGAGCGATAAATGGTAATGGAAAGAATGATAGAGGGTGCAGCCAGGGGGCCCCCCAAAAATGATTTGGAATGGTGTCCAGAATTCAAAGTGTATAGGAATATTGGAGAGACATATAAGATGTCCTCACACCTCCCCCCAGAGGGAAGAAACTAATGGAGCCAGGCCATTGAGAGCTGTTTTGCATAGCAACAGTTTTGCAGCTAACCTCTGAAATGGTTATTTAACATATCTATAACCTTTAACTGGTTTCATAGATATGTTAAATAGCTGTGGCCAAGTTTGGAGGCAGGGAGAAGGGAGTGGACTTGGACCCAGGATGAAACCAGGGGCTGCGCTTCTGAGTGAGAAGGCCTGTGTGAGAGCTTGGAAAAGACTGGCTCCGGGACATGAGGGGATAACTGCCCAGATGAGAAGAGGGCCACCCCGTTCGGGGCAGAATGGAGATCCCTGCAGCCAGGTGAAGAAGAAAGCCACATGCTTTTGGTGGAGTACAAACCCCTGCAGCTTTGGTAGAAGAGGCCCACGCAGCTTTGGGATGCTCTCTTTGGCCAAGTGGCCTGGAAAGCAAGAGAGACTTTGACTGGAACTGGGTACAAAGATCTCTTGCCAGTGGACCATGAGAGGGTACCACAGTACTTTGGATTAACTAGAGAGAGATCCTGCCTGCATGGTGACACAGTTGACGCTGCCAGTGGCCTGAAACACAGACCTGTGCTCTTTTCCTGATTTATGGTACCCGGAGTTGGGACAGTGGGAGAAGGGAGAGCTGTGTGGGTGTAGGTGTATACCCTAAAGGACTTTGATATTTTAGTGGTGGCGTTAGGCCTGAATAGCATTAAATAAACATTTTGTTCCTTTTCACAAATCTCTGGCATTGAGAGATGTCTTTCCAATTGGCGGCGGACAGAAGAGCCCAGTAGATATTAGTATTCTGTTCTTGGGAGGGGTCCCTGTTGTGTAGCAGTTTTTGGCATCCCTAGGTGGGCCAAATATTGTATTGCCCCTCCCTCGGACCTCTTGTTCGGTAACAAGAACACAATAAAAAAATGTTTAAAATAATAATGTTAAAATAGATAAGTAAATAAAGTCACTACAATATACCACATCTATAAACCAATGGATATAAATGGAAAGTCTGACAACGACAACTGACAAGATGGGGAAGTATAAATTGTTTTAATAAACTTGGGGGAAAATTAGCATTATCTAACAAAGGATATATGCATATCTTATGACCTAGCAATTCCATTCCAAACATGGTTAAAATATAACATAGGGAATATACTCAATAATGTAATAACTATGTAAGTGTCAAGTGGGTGCTAGGCTTATCAGGGTGATCACTTAATAACATATGTAAATGTCAGCCCCGACTGGTGCAGCTAAGTTGGTGGGGCATCATCCGGCAAAGCAAAAGGCTGCCAGGTCAATTCCAAGACAGGGAGTACACCTGGG